ACTTGGGGATGGGAATGCTGACAGCCCAACCCCACGTTCTCCTCCTGACCATTAGATGGCTGAGCTGATTAGAAACCAGGTACAGACAAGCTTATCCCCTCTTAAAATGATCCTGCAATGAAATTCTCTGTAGTGTTTAACCAGTAAGCACTTTTATTGTTGATTTTGAATCCATTAAGACTACATTATGTTGGATTACAAGACTTTGGCTACATCTCCCACATTTGCATGCAGGCATTACATTTGCAAGGTTTCCTCAGAAAAATGGAGCAGGCGCATAAAATGCATAAAGGTTATATGATTATAACATGGAAGCAGCATGTCAGTTACAGAAATTTGTACCACATGTACCAGTAACAAACCCACATCCCCATGTAAAACTTCTTTGTCCCTCAAAAATCCAACTGCTTCCTCTGTCCCTCATCTCCATGCCCCGGCTGTCTATCAGCCCACATCCCCACTGTTTCTGAAAACACACATCTTTTTCTAAAAAAAGTTTAGTACAGTACATTTTTTTCCCTTAAAAACTAAAACATTTCTCCTTCACTACCCCCTCCCCCCCAAATGAAGAATCTATCATAATCTACACATCTGTTCAAGCACTGTTATATGTTAGGAATCTCTATTGCATTATTCAAAAGTATCAGATCAGTAACAAACTTCTAAACAAACTAGGATGACCCAAAAATTCCCCTTCCCCCAAAACTAGAGAACTGAAAACACTATACTGCATTATCACACTTGCATGCATGTATCCTGAGCCACCTGTATTTATTCACCTTAAGCCCCTTTTAATAAATAACTGTCCAGCAGTAACATCCAGAAGTGTGCTGTCTCCTCCAAATTAAACTCTATATTTACAGAAGTAGGGCTGTTTTCTCAGTGAAATGTGTTTTTTTAAAAAACAAAACAAAATAACAACAATAAAAACAGCAAACGATTAAAGAGAGAAAGCATATTACTGATCATGTTGTCTAAAGACCAACAGGAGTAAAAAAGCATTAGGAGCACCAGGTGCACATGCATTTGAACTGGTACAGTTCATGAAATAATGTCATTCATTGTTATGCTCGCTCATTCAGACGAGGAGCTGATTCTTTTCCTCTCTCTTTTTTCCTTTTTACATTTAGGACCGTCTGCTCTGCAGGCTACTCCCACAGATGGCAATACATGCACTGAGGTTGAAAGATGGCCATAAATATGCTTTGATCAATGTGGTTCTGTATCAGCTTTGAACACATGGGGTTTCCCTCCCTGCTGCTTTGCACCTTGTGTCATTTCACATCTGTGCTAAGTGTGAGCCAAAGGTCCCCCGAATCCACATTTTTCTCTTGGATTTGGGGAAGCATTAGATACTCACTTTTTGCAAGTTTCAAATGATGCTATATGCTGGAAAATACAGGGGAATCATCCCACATAGGAACATTTCTTAGCAGTGTCACTACTGTAATCACAACTGACATATAAGCATACCAAAACAAACATTGAAATATCAAGCCAGTTAGAGGGATTTTGTCCCTTCCTTTATTTTGAGCCAGCTCTCAGCTGACAGATGCCAGTATTACTACCTTGATTTCAGTTGGCCTATGTCGATTTACGCCAAGTAGGGATCAAGCTCAACAGATGGTTAAAATAGCAACCAGTTTCTCCTACTGCATTGTTATAGTGCCTGAGATCACTACAAACGGGTACATTTCTACACAACCAAAGGGCCTTTCTGTAGCCAGTGCAGCATATTCACTGCCCCCACCTTTGCAAAGGCAATTCAGTTCAGGTTCACTTTCTCTTCTTCCCGCTTTACCGACAAACTAAACCTGCAGCGCTCCCATCACAGAAGCTGCAGCCAAAACTTGAGTTACACACCAAATGCTTAATTTTATATAGTGAAAATGCTGGGAACTCCATTTATGCTGAATCTAATTTTCAAATTCAGGGCTTCCTGCTTTATCATACATGGATCTGATCACCTGGAAGCCCAAACCACTCCTATCCTCGCTGCACTTGCAAGTTATGCAGAAATTGTTAGTATCTGTTATCTCCGCGAGACTGGCTATTCCAGCAAAGAATAATATTCCCCTCAACTGCAAACAACAGGCATGTTGGATGTGTGATTGTGAGAAACCTTCCCTAAGCCAACACCTCCATTCTCACTGGAAGTGAGTCAAATTCTACCAACATTAACATCAATGCAAATCTGCAACAACTCCACCGACCCCTCTCAAGATCTGTAGAGGTGCAAGACAATACAAAATCTGGCTCCCAGGCTTTTTCATTAGCTAAAGTTTACCCCTGACCCATCAATTCAACTTTATTAGCAGATACTAATTCTGTAAGCAAGTTTTCCCTTTTATTATTACATCATTTGTGAGCTCCACCATTGTTCCAATCTCATCACTGCCTACTGATAAGAGACTTGGCATCTACAGAGCAGCGGACTGCCCCCCTCCCACAAGCAGCTAAACCTCAAATGCCATGTTTTGTCCTGGCAGTGGAATCGGTTTTATTACCCTCTGCCATTTCAATTCCTGGTTAGCATTTGTTGGCTATTTATTCTTAGACAGCCAACGTGAGAGGCTGTTAGGTTCAACTGTACATACACATTACAACTGGTCTTAAACCTAGCAAGTTCATTTCACATAGGCTTCCATACAACCGAAATAATGTCAGCCAATGATCTCTGCTTGTAAAGCACCTTCCCCCACATCCAGGTCCCTACCCCCTCACTGCAGTCACCCAGTTCCTTTCACTGGTGTCAAAAGCGGAGCTTCACCAGAACTGCAGTGGAAAATTGGACATGTTTTAGCTTCACCTTTCAACTGAAAGAAATGGAGATAATTAAGTGATGACTGTATGTCGCACTGGCTGCAAAAGGCCTTTCCATTCACAGGAGTGCTACTCTCCGAGCAATTTTTGTAAAGGAAGAGAAACCAAACAAAAACCTACACAGTTCCCACACACAAGCACAGACACACGCACACACATACACACACACTTCTCTCTCCTCCAAACAGAAATCCATTCTTATAGACCAAATTATGCAGACCCTATTCAAGTGACTAAAAAGAATGAGGATAGGGTTGAGTGCATCCCAATTCTCCTTTCTGATCACAATGAAGTCACAGGTCAGCAAAGTACTTGGGCATTAGGATGTTCCTCTTGACCTGCAGGACATTTTAATGCATGCAGAAGTGCTTTGCTGGCTCAGGCCTAAATTAGGAACAGCTCCAAGGCCAGCTGGCACCCATGAGTGTGATTCCACTATCTGCACCAATATACATGAGGTAAGAGCATAACTCAAGAGAGCAGAGCAGTGCAAGAGGAGAAAGAGGCTCTGTGGTTCTTCTGAGTTTATCTTTGACAGCCTCAGCTGCATACACACGGCATGTCACAGTGATCAGCATAGACCGATGAGAGCTTGGTATGGTGTTCTGCAAGTGGGACTTCCACTGGAAACAGTAAGCCTGATTTCTATTTGTACCAGGGCAACTTTATATGCCTGTAACAACCGCATGAAGAGGCCTTAAATCTGGAGTAATTGCACTATACAGTTAGTGTTTTATCTTGGACTTATGTGCCAATAACTACTGTGGTGTGCTACACACCCACACCTACACACAAATGGAGAGATAAGTATATGCTGTGTCATAATGCCACATAAACATTATTTCTACAACTATCCTAATAACACAGCCAGTGCCAAAGCGAACCGGCATAAGGATTTGCAGCCACCCTCTCCAATACAATATGGTAAGTAGTGGTGGAGAAAAAGCAAGCTCAGGTGTTATTTTGATTCACTAGGGAATGATCAGGGCACAACCCACTCAGGTATTGCTTAGTGAACACTATTCATGGGCTGTCCCACAGTCCCGCGTCATAAATTCCCACCTCTGTGTGGGTGCTCACATCATTTTCTGATGACACACAGAATTGAGGTCATGGGCGAGCAGTCACAATGTTTGGGAAATCCTCTAGACAAACATTATATAAACAGGAATAAAAGCTCATACTGACACATCACACCATGCCTCTCAACCACAGGTAGACTGCAAGGTTATATATTAGTGGGATCTGGTCTGTCTAAAGAAAGAGCTACTCATAGAGGAATTAATGTTTGAATCACAAGAGGATCTAGTTCTGCTTGGCAGTAAGATCAAAAGGAAATTTATCTAATTAAATAGCAATGGAATCAGTCCCTCAATGCTGCTGATATAACTAACACATGCTGTTTGCATATTACAACTTTCATGCTCGAATTGCATGTATATTTACTCCACTTCGGACTATGTTTTCCATAAATGAAAAATAATGACCTAACCACAACATTTTTCTCAAAATTCCTCTGAACTTTGGACAAATCTGAACACAGGTCTTGTTCAAGGTTTGGATTTCTAGAACCAATAGCTGGCCTTCAGTGGCTATCCTATGCAACCAAGTCTAAACGTATGCAGAGATGGCAGGCTCAAAACTGACTTTCTCAGGAGAAAAAGATACCTCTCTTCTATACTAGATTACTGTTGCTAGATTATTGGCACATAGTCTCATCTTACCTCATTATTGTTATAGCCCTCTCATAAACTTTAATGGAAATTCCACCTGCAGAACCAAAGGCAGAAAGTTATCTTTGCAATTCTTGTTCCATATTAACATCTGGATGCAGTACCATTGGGGAAAAGAAAGCAAATTCCTCAATGAACTATGTTTAACCAACTTGCAGGTGGCAGCTATCAAAAAAACTGGTGCACATGTACCGGCTAAAGTTATTAATGAATGATCTGACATACCAAGTCAGACAAATGTCATATGTAAATAGATCTTCAAATGTATACATACAAAAGCTGCTACTGTATCTAGATGATCATTTTGGTTTGTTTCTATACCCCATAGCTCTGAATCTATCCACTGAATGTTTACTCAGCACGTGTGGTATAAATATATTCATACACTAAAATTGACACTTGGCAATTTTTCTTTTTTTTTTTCTTTCTTCTTTTTTTGCTGACCAGCAACAAATTCTGATATCTTTAACTGTAAACCAATACTCAATAAATATGCTGTGTTCAGCAAAGAGACATGTTTTGTCAATCAGGGTTTTGCTGCACTCTAAGCCATGGGCTGCGGGGGTGGGCGCGAAGGAGGAGGTCCAGGAGGGGCTCGGGATGGAGGTGGTCCAGGAGGTGGCTGCCTGGAAGGGGGCTGAAGAGACACAGGAGGAGAAGGATTCCTTGGAGCATTGTTGAGAGGAACATCATCGCGCCGCGGCAGCTTTGGCGGTGGGCTGTAAGGGGCAGAGGTTCCATCTGATTTCACCCGAGTGAAGTTTATGCATCTTCCCTAGAAGTAAAGAAAAATTCATTACTCATCAAAAGCAGGTGTTTTAACTCAGCAGCAGCTAGCCAAAGGGACTACAAGCAGAGGGGCCAGGCCGCACTTAGAGATTTTCATCCAGTATTGTTCACTGCATCCTAGACATGATATTCAGACCATGCTGTACTGAAGGTCAGCACTAGAAACCACTGCTTTCTTTGGGTTTCAGATCTCCTGCCTACAGACGATAGCCTAGGACTGGTTTAAACCAAAAGGGACCCCACTGTGACTTTGCTCACATGTACCCTCTGCTCTGCTACTAGAGCTATGCAGAACATGCCTAAAGCCACAGCTCCACCAAAGTCATGCCTGCCTTGGTGAGATCCCTGACTGAGAAAGCTGTGCTTGAAAAAAACTCATAGCAGGGACAGGATTATACCAGAGGAACAACCTTAGCAAAGACACCATCTGTAGCTTTCCTTTTCACCGTGATGCTAGCCTAGCTGGTGTCCATGCTTTGAACACCACAGTGGGATAGTGCATCTGTCTTCTGTGCTCCAAATGTAGATGCGGCTTCCCTCGCAAACACCAACAAGGTTTGGGACTTGCACAAAGGGCTCTCCAATGAGTGTGTTTCCAGAATGGATGTGGGACACAGGCAGGCAGGACCTGATGGGAGAACTGTGGATGGAGATTTTAAAACAGGAGTAGCTTGGGTTTGAAAAAGCAGCAAGCATTGGGGATGTCCTAGTCTGCTAGGGGCTAAACGCAAATACATCAGGATTTCCTTTAGCCAGAACAAAGCTTTGCATAGGTTCCCACTAACCAAGTTCCAGGCAGGAAGAGAGACAGACCCCAAAGACCATCTAGCCTTCCCTGTGAGGAGCAGCCAGAGGCTCCTGCTCACTTCAAAACCTATATGGCAACCTCAGTCAGACACCAAGATCTCTGCTGTCTGCTGTACTTGTTCCTCCCCACGACCCCTAAGTTTTGTTACAAACTGCCCCACTATTTCTGCAGAGGCCTCATGAAATCCTGCAGACACAACGTTGCGTGAGGAGATGCAACACTTGGCATCGCTGTCTCCACCTCCTCACCTAGGGAGGTGGGAGGAGATGCTTATGCAAGAATCCAGCTGCCACAAGCTTGACAGAAGCCTGCGCTTGGAAGTCAAAAAGGCCGCTCATCATCATGTAGAAAGGCTGGAGACAAAGGTTGCCTCAAAATGCAGGAGTGGCACTGCCAACAGCCCATTTACAGGAGCCGGGATGTGGTTTCCAAATAAGTAACTGTGGGCTGGAAAGTACCCTTCCCATCAGTGATGAACTCCATTTGCCAGCACCTTTTCCCTTCCGCAGCAGGCTTCTTTTGTTCCATGTAGCAATCATCCTAATGAAAATAGCCTCTACAGTTTAACATGGAGGGGCATGTTACCTGTTTCTCTCTTTCCAAGGCAAACACTAGCTGGGGGAAAAGGAAAAAAAACGTTTGGTTTGTTTAGAAAATATCTGCCCCAGAAGGCATATTCCCTCCATTGTTTTGAAAGACCCACAGAGCCACAATGCCCGGCCAGAGGTTTAGGCTGTACGCTGGAAATCAACAAACCAAATTCAGCTCAAGGTTATGCCAACATCCCCCAAGCAAAATTCAGGAGAAAGACTCCAGATTTATTCTCAGAGCTAAGCAGCTGTAGATCACGATCCCCACAGCTACCAATGGCTGTGATAACAGGGGAATACAAGAACCCACACCAGCGACAGATGACTGCTAGGTCAGTGCTGCCTGGCGTGAGGAAACTCTGAAGGTGTTTAGGGAATAGGCTGAGTTTCTGTGGCAACCCCACAAATCACAATTTCCCCTGGAATCCAGGCAAAAGCCATGACAGCTGAACCACATCTATTCTATTAAGTGACTTCCAATGCCTGCACCTTCATTCGTGAAAACTATCCCTTTAAAAAGAAGGGAATCACTTAAGTCTATTGCTTCTCTAAAGAGAGTCAAGCAGAGTATCAAGAGAAGCTTGTGTAAGCTCCAGAGAGCTCAGAAAATGATTCAACAAATGTACCAACACCCAAAGCGTACCACCCTACCACTTACTTGGATTGGATGGCTCAGGGCTTCAAGGGCTCAGCTGCAGCCAAGAGTTGTTTGAATGGGTGTGTTGTTGCCTGTACGTGAGACGTACTCAGTAGTTCTCAGTCCCAGCTTTCACCATCACAAATTCACCACTACACCTAAACAACAGCCTCAATAAGTAGGATAAAACCCCCTTTCTAAAAAAAGCAGGCTTGTTCCAGCAGACTTTGGTTATGAACCAGGTTCAAGGCAATACTATTCTAGGGCCAGAGCCTCTGCATGGAGGTATCAAAGGGCAAAAGCCAAGGTCTTGGTTACTTCTGCACCAAAGATAAACCATTGGATGAAAAAAACCCAAGTCAGTGCTTTGCTCTACTCCATCGGAGAACTCAAGTCCTCACCAGCACTGCAGCGAGCAGCCATCCTTGTCAGCTTACAACAGCCGTTTGTATTCTGCTCTGCTCTATTGTATTCAGAGCAGACTTGGAAATTCAGCAGTATTTACTGCTCTGCAGTGAACACTACAGATATAAATATCAAGGCTGAGCTATCAAATACAAAGTTATGAATTTAGAACACCTAAATAATCACCCAGGACAAAAAAAAAAAAAAAGAGAGAAAAAAAGTCAGAGGTATTCAGTTGAGATGCAGCTTACGTGGAGGGAAAAAATTAAGAACAGAACCATGTCCCTCATAGTAAATGCAAAGCTGCAAACCCAACACTAGTGCTTTTGCCTACAAGCCTTTCCTGCCTCTCTGTTGTGTCTCTCTCCCAAACATCAATTCCAAATATATTCATAGTCTATAATCAAAGGGGATCCCATAAATCTGTTTGCATTACTTTCACTTCAGTTAAAGTGATAGGCGACGTCAAACTGCTGCCAGTTTCTGCCACACTCACTGATTTGTCAGACAGATGGGTAATTTAAAGGCCATGCGCCGCATTGTGTCATGAAAAATACGGTTGGGTTGGGAGAGTCTGACAGATAGAGGCTTGGATGATCGATGTATGTATTGTGACACTTCCTCACAAAAGATTATTGGTGTTAGCCTACAATCTCATATTTCAAAGACTTCTGGTGAATACTGGAGCAAATCCTCCTGAGCACTTCAAGCAGCCATTGATAAAATGAGGCCGAACTCTTAGCCACTGTTAGGATTAAGGGAAAGGGAGGAACAAATGATAGTAAATCGTTAAGTCATAATTTGGACTTATCAAGTGTATTTCATCAAAGGATTTCTAGGTTGAAGAATTAAGCCCTCCACTCATCACAGTTTCCTAATAACAGGGTGCCACAGCTATTCTACCTAACGTGCACATCCCTCTGGGGTTAGTTTATAAAAAAAATCCATGATGTTTCTCAAATAAATATGCTAACCACAGGATTTTTACTATTCTGTGTTTGAAAGGATTAAGTAATTTCCTCTCCAAAGGCACATAAAGGCTTTTAAACCATAGAGAACACGGACAGAAATCAGGTATCCTGCACACTCACCTATGCTCTCCCTGTACAGGGGATTAACGGGGATTAAGAGCCACCATCACTTTAGTAGTGGTAACAGTATGTTTTTCCCTGAAGCACAGTATACACTAAGTGTTTTAGGAAAGGTGTCAGAGTTGCAAGGTGCAGTAATACCATGGTGATCTCAGGCACAACAGCTGTCGGTAGCTGCTTTATTGTTTTCTAGGAAGCAGACGATCTGCGTAAATCCAGTTCTGTCTGGTTTCAGCCCTGCTCCCAGTACAGCATCCCTCAGATGGTGCGACCCGCACCGCGTACTGTCATTCAGGCACCAACTGAAGGTCAGCAATGCGCCATATGGAGTTACGCCCTTACTTCAGCTCACATCTGCACAGTCTTCCTAATGCACAATTATTTTGCTTCCCCATATGTCCATCCACTTGTTAGGCTCTTGTTATGCTGCTTGCCAAATTGGCTTTTCAAAAAGTACAAATACTGAAGCAGCGGGATCTGCCCTTGTCCCGACTCCAGCTTTTATCCCAATGTAACAATCACATGTGCAATTCAGGCACTTTGTACTTCTAGGCAATGCCTCCTCGACCACCTAGGATGTGTTTTTGTGTGTGGTTTAAGGGGGGGGAAGGAAGGGAGGAACCTCTTGAAAGCCACTGCCTCTTGTTTCTGGGCTACTTTCGTCATAGTGCTCAGTACATCACTCCCCAGTGCTTGTTCCCCCAAAACCTTTAGCTACTACTCAGCAAATTTTCAATGGAAAGGAACAACTGTTAAAAGGATCCAGGCAATTCGAAGAGTGACATGGGCAAGTGTCTTCACCCACGATACTAAGAGCACTTCAGCAAAAAGAATTGAAAAAATTCTCCCCATCTGCCAGTAGCCGCCTCTTTTCTCTGTTCACTTTAATACATGCATTGGTGTTTATTTAACAAAAATCAAATCCAGTTTCATCTCTGTGCATGCCAGAGTATTTATGTACACAAAAGTATGTCCGTTTCTTATTTTTAGCTGCATCAGTTGACCTAATAAAAGATATCCTTCCTGTTACAAATTTTGCTTGAGTTTTCATTCACTCTGGGTTTTGCTTATGGAGTCTCAGTGCTGCAATTCTGACTAGCAGAGGCGGATATCTGACTGAGGAAGAGTTGGCTTCACTTAAATGTTTACTGAAATTTCTTGGTCTTTGACTTTGTAAGAATATAATAGTTGGCTTTACAATTTAGAATGGATTAAAATAAAATCATTCCTTTAAAGTTTGAACATAGCAATCCAAAACACTGGACCACCAAATTGAAAAAATAAAGTAGCTCCCAGTCAGAAGTATTACATTTAGGATACTGAAACCTGAAATGAACATAATTTCCTTGGGCTCAAATGAGTAGCCACCTTTCTTCCCAATTTTGTTTACTGATGTCACTGGGATGACTCTGCCAGCTTGCTATGGACATGGTTCATCAACATGTAGCTTCACTT